TGGATTTCTCATTATGGGTGCAAATATGTAGTTCATGGCGATGATATTACATCGGACAGCAGCGGGGAAGATTGTTATCGATTTGTCAAGGCTGCAGGAAGATTCAAGGTCGTGAAGCGAACGCCAAGTATCTCAACGACAGATCTGGTAGGACGAATGTTACTCTGCACACGAACGCACTTTATTAAATCACTTCCCAAGCTCTTGGCTGGGGAAGATGGCTCTGGAACTCCGGAGGAGAGACATGCTGAAGGCAAAGCTATGACTGAAAGAATGCGAATGTATGCTACCGACGAAACCGGACTTAACCCAGGCTCAAGCGTTTGGTTTTGGAAAGCTTCGATTGCGGCTAGGGAGGACGAGACCGAGAATGAGAAGGGAGTTTTCAGTTCGTTGATGCAAGGATCGACCCCAAAACCCGGTCAGCGAGTCGTATATGTTGATGGTGGCTTCGATCTCTTTTCCTCGGGTCATATTGAATTCCTTCGACAAGTCATAAAGGCGGAAGAGAAGCTCGCTGAGGGAGAAGGCTGGTACAACAAAGAGGCTGTAGAAGAACGTCTTGGTAAAGGGGCAGACTATGCCCCATGTTTCGTAGTGGCTGGTGTTCACGATGATGAAGTTATCAATCATTGGAAAGGAGTCAATTATCCAATCATGAATATCTACGAACGAGGTCTTTGCGTATTGCAGTGCAAGGTATGAAGTGCCCCACAGTATCTCTCCCAGGTTACAATTCTAACTTTATATAGTATGTCAACGCCGTCATCTTTGGTGCGCCTTTTACTCCCTCCAAGGCATATCTTACAACAACCCCATGGGGAGTACCTGATGCCGTCTATCACGGACCAACAAGTTTCATGCCATTGACTTATGATCCATACGTCGCTGCAAAGGAAATGGGAATCTATCGCGAGATTGGAAACCATGAATTTGCATTTGTCAATGCTGGTCAAATTGTACAACGAATTTTGAAAAGTCGAGATATGTATGAAGAAAGACAACGCGTAAAGGGAGTGAAAGGTATTGGCGAGGAGGCGCAAAGGACTCGCGAACGATTGGAAGAAGAGCAGCGATTGAAGGAAAACACTGCATAAATGGGTCAAAACCTGAAGGAAAAGTTCAAGGGTAGAGAGGCAAGCAAAAAAAAGATCATAGAGAGAGATACCACCTAATTTTACATAACATAGAGATAAATATCAGATTAATTGACCAAAGAACATGCCATGGCTCGGTATCCACCGTTGAGATGAAACATTACAGCCAATTGACAATGTTAAATATTTATAAACAGCGATCTATCAGGTTATGAGTGTGCTTGTGACTTCTGATGATACGAATCTTCTTGCAGTTCCGCATATCTTGAGGTCTCGGTATCCGAGTGTAACCGTTACCCGTCAATAAGCGATTGGTATCAAACTCCAGTCTTTTCATCCATTTTCATTGGGAAGAATGAAAACGTTCAAAATAGACGACATCATATCTGATATGTCCCACAATGCACACACATCCACATCCACATCTTTCAACGCCTTCTTCTTATCGTCAACGTCTGAAGTCCGGCTCCGTTCCGGACAATGAACCGCAGCAAGAATCCAATAAGCCGTGTGTTACATACAATCCATCATTCCTCGCCAAAATACACTTTCTTATGCTTAGAAGTCAAAACTCGGGGGTCAGTCTTCTGACAGCAGTCCCTTAACATGGATCTACCTGCCTTTTGAATTCTCAATGATCGGACTCATTGGAGTAGATCTTCAATGCTTGACTGCCTATTCTCTTGATATAACACGCCCTTCCCGACTGACTACGATGTGCTCCGTGCCGTTACTTCCATAGTTGATTTTCCATGCATTGCAGTGACCCACCAGCAAAATCCATGACAACTTTCTAGACACGAAATCTTGTGCGTACGTACTATCTATATGCTGAACAGGTAAGTATTTTTATACTATCATACTATGTAGCCATGATTCGACGGAGGACCTGCCAAGTAGACCCCAAATGGACGGTTGGCGGCGTATTAGACCATGATTGATTGGCTTCTTTTTTAACACATCGCCTCGATTACCTAGGTAGGATTTCCACAGAGATTGGCTAGTGCCATAAGGTTGAGTTTGAGTTTTCTCTGTCAAATATTTTTATATTTTTATGTTTTTATGGGTTTATGGGTTTAGAATGAGAATCTTATCTGTGCATGTCTCTAGATTTCACTGCCCTGGGTCCCTTCCACTTCCACTTCCTTCCCTCGAGTCCCTCCAGTAAAATTGTTTGTTGGGGTGTGACTCAAAATTTCAAACGAAACTCCTTTTACTAATAAATTTATTAGTTCATTCTATATAAACTCTAGAAATCCTTTCTTTGTCCACGAATTCCATTTCTCTTGATCACCTGCAACCTTTTTTTGACATCAAAACTATTAGATTTTCTTAAGAAGTTTTCAATCAATACTTTCCTACACTCTTTTACTTTTTCTATTAAGTATCAATTGGGTATCTGGTTACCATAAAATCATAGATCTTATTCACAATGGCTCCATCAGCAGTCTCACAAACTCCTCCCAAAGATGTCCAACAATCCGATGAACTCTTAGCTGCCGCCGTTACCAAAAAGATTGCAACCACGGAATTTGGCACTCTTCCTCATCTAGATGCATCTTTACTTAAGGTCACCAAAACTACCACTCCTATGAATGTTCCTGCAGCAGGCGATCCAATCATCAATACTGCCTCGCAATGTACCGACCACATGATCACAGCCGTTTGGAACAACATGACGGGATGGGGTGTACCAGAGTTAAAACCATATGGAAATCTTTCTTTGGCTCCCACGGCTTCTGTTTTACAGTAAGTTGTTTTCTGTTTTTCGTTGTCATTTTTTGTTTGCTATTTGGGAGGCGCATGAGCCATAGCCACCATTCTTCTCGTTTGAGGATGATGTGGGATGGGATAGGATCTTCCAACAGACGTCTCATATCACAACCCAAACAAGACCCATGTTGTGTCTTTTGACCAATTATGTACTTCGAACATAGATATTAACTCATTTTAGTTATGCGACTGAGTGTTTCGAGGGCATGAAAATGTATCGTGGATTCGATGGAAAACTCAGATTGTTCAGACCGGATTGCAACTGTCAACGAATGCTCACTTCCGCTACCCGTATTTCGTTGCCAGGATTCGATCCTAAGGAGTTGGAGAAACTCATTGTTGCTTTGGTTTCTGTAGATGGTCCTAAATGGCTCCCAGAACCTGGAACTTTCCTCTACTTGCGACCCACTATGATCGGTAGCGCTGGAGCACGTGAGTATACCCTTTGCTAGATTTTGACTTTGACGCCATGTCAAATGTGAAGTATACTTTTTACTAGACAAATCACTAATACGAATACGTAGTTGGTGTTGCTGCCCCTAAGGAATGTACAATGTTCATCATCTCCACCTTCATGCCTTCAATGGATTCGCCCAAGGGAATGAAGCTTCTTGCCAGTCAAGAAGGTGTTCGTGCCTGGCCTGGTGGATTCGGTTTCGCAAAGGTAGGAGCCAACTATGGACCTACTTTGATGGCGAACTCGGAAGCTCGTGCCCGTGGCTATGATCAAGTTTTGTGGTTGCTCGATGGAATGGTTACCGAGGCTGGAGCCAGCAACTTTATGGTTGTGTGGGAAACTAAGGAGGGTAAGAAGCAGCTGATCACCGCTCCTTTGAAGGACAAGATCATCTTGGATGGTGTTACCAGGAGAAGTGTTTTGCAGTGAGTATCCTCTTATTTCATTGCCTTGAAAATTTCTAACCTCGAAACTACAGACTCATCCGAGAACGTATCCCCGAGCTTGAAATCGTGGAGCGTAACTTCACCATGGATGAGCTTGCCGAGACCGCCAAAGAAGGCCGTGTCGTTGAAGCTTTCGCTTGTGGAACTGCATACTTCGTCGTTCCCGTTGCACAAATCAACTACAGAGAGAAGGATATCGATATCCCCATGGTTAAGGGCAACAGCGGAGAATACGCTGCAAGGGTCAAGCAATGGTTAGTCGATATCATGTACGGAAACGTAGAGCACGAATGGGGTGTTGTCATTGATGAAGTTGGTGCATGAACCATTCCCTTTTCATTGATTGGACTCGGGTAATTCGGTACTCTGGATTGTTCTGGCTATGGGATTCGCTTGTACAGTGGAGATTTATTCTCCAATTAGTCAGATCGTCCTCTTTTCTTGTTTCATCGTGGTTGCACTTTTGGCCGGCGGGAGGAAAAAAATGATTGGCTATTTTATGGCGTGGATTGGTTTGCTTTTCTTTGGGGCTTGGTTCAGCGTCATAGATATCTGTTTGCATAGAGAGAGTCGCATCAGCGTTGATGGCTGGCTTTTTGTGTATTTTTGATAGAACAGCGAATATCACAGCAATGGTTTTATGAAAGATGAATGTTGTGTTTTACCCCGTTTCGTCATTGTGATTTGCTTGACTTTTGGAACATTGTTTTCAATGTCTTTTCAAGGAAGCGTACATTCATTACCAGCAATCTTAATATCGAGAGTCGAGTCTTTGAAATCTAGATGTCAGGCTATTTCGGTTTCCGGTGGATTGCTACAATGCATTCGCGCTAGAGTTTGGTATATAGCCGAGATTCAACGTTTTCCACATACGGCCAGAAAGGGGGATCGGTTCATCGAAGAGGAAGTATGTAGAAGACTAGTCAAAATCGAAGCAATCTTCGCTTTGCAGGATATTAATTAGAAGATTCGATTGTTATGTATAGTTTAATGTACAGAAGTATAGAGTGAGTGTATACTGTATTGTATGTGTCATACTTGTTTAATACCTGCCAGCAAATCGAACATATCCCAGCAAAACAATACAGCAACATCATTGATTGTCTAAGGGACAGGAGTGTGAGCAAATATAAAAATATGCCAGTGTGTATTCGTATCATGTATCACATCCCACACGACACGCTACGAACAGCTCAACACCAGTGATCAGATTAAGATAAACATCTTTCACCACATCATTGCTCCTACAATTCTTTGTCGTACTTTGTCTGTTTTCACATCGATTTCCTGCACGAAAAAGTATTTGTTAGTAAAAATGTATGTATGTATGTATGCATTCTTGTACAGTAAAATCAAAGAACATCATACCTTCTCCGAAGCTTTCATCTTCTTGATCGCATCATTTCCTACTTCATCCAGTTCTTCCAACAAAACATCCATCTGGGCCGCGTATTCTGCATCCAACAACAGCATACCGACATGATATCCCTCCTCCGCATCCTCCTCATTAAACATCTTACCCCCAAACACTCGCGTCGCACATATCTTGAACTCAGTCTGTAAGCCCTCCCATTCCTTCCAATACCCCTCGAGCTTATTTTCCTCCTCCTCGATCGTCTGTCGGAATTGCGCAACGCGCTTGCCAACCTCGACGATCTCGGATATGCGACGTCCTTTTTGCTGCACGGTCATTTGGATTTTCTGCGTGGCTAACGGCGCGCTGAGCGCTTGTGCGTTGTGGGAGATGGCTTGGAGGAAGAATTGATCGGTGGTTTTTTCCTGGGTGAGTTTTTGGAGGAGAACGCTGTGGGCTTCTTCGAATGCGGCTTTTCCGACACGTAAGATGTGGGTTCGGGCTTCTTCGAGGGATTCTGGATCTTGTATTAGTTTTGAATTACTTCACTAGTATAGTATTTGGAATGACGATGCGATACTCACCTTCAAAAGCAGAAGAAAGATCCTCAGGTTGAAGAGACGATTCAACTTCAACTCCACGAGCATGTTTTGGAAGTTGAGATGGCCGTGCATCTTTACCACTCTGTTGAAGTTTCCGAACTTCATTTATTGGAATGGGTTTTACAACGACGGACTTCTTGGCTTGCTCTCGGGATTGCTTGGGCGACGATGTAGTCTTGGATATTTTGGATACCTTGGGTTTTGATTTTGCGCCATGTGCTTTGCTTCCATCGAGCGATTTGCGGTGGATGGCTGGAATGGCTTTTTGATGGTTGGCTTGACGGGTCATCGTGACGCCTAAATATATTACTATGCATGTAGGGATGAACTATATTGGGAGAGAAATGTGAACCTCTTCGTGGACGATGAAGTTGTTTGGATAATTTCGGAAATGTTGTATTGGACTTTGGAAGTGGAAGTGAAAGTCGCTTAACATGATTCCAATTTGAGGGAGGAAGGAACGATCTGAACTACACGCGCATTCATCGGGTTCATAATAAAATTCCACCACACCGAACAGAATAATGAGATTTTCTTCATGAACAAACAACCTTCTAGTTGCATTGTTGTGAATTTCGTTGTGGTCTCAGATGCTCTAGCCCAGGATTCTACAGGTGAGCACTCACACTTCTATTTTCGAATCTGTGTATTGATCCCATCAGTGCATATTCCCTCGGCAAATAAACCTGTCTCATAGGTACCTGTAACTACCTATGTATATCTATGGGACAGAGTATCCATTATGGAATGAGTCTAGGCGTCACTGGCATTTTAAAATGCTTTACATCAGTAATTTCTGGTGGCCTACGATGTGATTGCTTACATTTTTTGGGAGGTCTTTGGACAATCTTGGATTGAAAGAAGAAATAAAATTGAGTGAGGGAGAGAGAAGAAAAGCGAATGAAAGATCTAATGAAGTGTAGAGTGATTCTAACTGTAGGTTTAATATTTATGCGCTTTCAGTGTTGTCTGTTTAACTCCACCTACAGCTGCATTTCTTGAGCAATCTGGCGTTTGTAACTGTTCTCGTCGATTAACCAACTTGCAATGTTTGAATTCCCAAAAATTTCCTGCGCCTCATCTGAAGTAGCCAAGTCTCAGTATCACTGTCACTTGAATATTCATCTTCATTTTGATTTTTCAATGTCTAACTTTCAGACATCTCAATAAGGGTAATAGGAAAATACGAATTATCAAGCTGAACATAATAAGTCCAAGGTATCTGAGGTAACCTTTAAATCAGATGCCATTCCATATCCCGAACGCCAACTTAACGCCGTAACCTGTTGAAAACACCAAGACACTTTTCGACACCCCCAACAGGTAGATATAATTGGCCCTCCATCCGTGGAGGTTACATTGCTTTGAAGAAAAGTTGCCAGCATATCACCTCTCAGTGCCAACTATGCTTCCAGCTTCAGCCTCTTTTCGATTACTGTCACAATCTCCTTCCAATCCTTCATGGCTCCATCCCCTACATCTCCACAAGCGAGCTCCTTTTCCTGAGGTCGCAAAACCTCAAACCATCCCTCACCCTCAGCTCCATCAGGACCAATACCCCATTCCTGCTCCAAAATCTTGATTTGACTCTTCGTTACTGGATGTCTCCACATAGCGGTATTCATCGCCGGAGCTACAACGATCCTTTTTTTGCCACTGAAAGCCGTCTCCCCACTCGTATCTAGACCATTCTGAGCAGATACTTCCACTTCTCCAGTAGTATCCCATGCTCTCACCACACTCGTAAGCAAATTATCACTAAAGCCGCCTGTAATCTTAGCCATCGTATTGGCGCTCAATGGCGCAATAACAAGCACGTGTGCCCATCTTCTCAACTCTATGTGCAAAATACTCTGACCACGTTTCCATGGATGAATCCATTCTTCCTCGTCTAAAAACACACCTTGCACGTTGGCGTATCGGTGAAAGGTGTCGATATGTGGTTGTTCTGTGCTTTGACCTTGAAGAAAATTGGTTGCAGATTTGGTAAAGATGACACAGATTGAGAGATTGGGATAATGTGATAGGGCAGATAGGATGTTGGGAATCTTAATGGTTGCGACGGATCCACTGGCTGCTAGGAGGAGGTGATGTTTACCATCGGAAGCATGATCCGCAGCCGTGAAAGGGTGTGATGTTCCAGATACTCGGGTTCGGTGCTCGTCACGCCCGGTATGGATCATTTGCAACATGGTGAATAAGAGTTTGATGAGTTCGAATAACTTGAATGTTGGGAAGCAATTTGGAAGATTGATTGTGTGTGAGAGTATGGGAGTTTGGGTATTTTTACATGCTGCAGTAACGGAAGAAGGGATTTGTGATAGAAAGAATAGGAATCTAGAATGATTAAATACTCTCTATTCACTCATCATTATTCATTGTTATGGGATGTTTTCTATCGAATGATTGATTCATAAGGCTGAATGCAGTTATCGATAATATTACATACCACAGACATTGATTGGTTCGATAATGGTTAGCTCTTCCGAACCTCCATTCTCTAAACATTATCAATCAAGAGGCAAGGCCACCAAAAAAATACATCAAATTCCACAAGTCTTGTACAATAAGATATCATATTTCAATATGATTGCCAAACCAATGTTGTCATCGGTATGTCGAATTTCCCCAACTCATTGAGAATCTAAACATGTTACCTGAAATGCTAATTAGCATTAATCAGATGTTCCGACAAGCTGCCCGCCCCGCGGTGTTTGCCTCCAAATTCTCGACCCCTCGATTCTCCCCCATCGCATCCAGATATCTTTCCACAGAAGTTCGCAAGCAAATTGATCAAGTTGTTGGTTCAAAGCCAGTTGTCCTTTTCATGAAAGGCACACCAGAAAGCCCAATGTGTGGCTTCTCAAAGGCAACTATTCAGATCTTGAGTCTGCAAGGCTTGAACCCAGAGAAGTTTGCTGCTCTTAATGTACTTGAGGACGAAGGTTTAAGACAAGGTTAGTTTTTGGAAACACTAATCTTTGTTATATACTATACGGAATCTAACATACATATCATACAGGAATCAAAGAATACTCCGAGTGGCCAACCATACCCCAACTTTATGTCAACAAGGAATTCATAGGGGGATGTGATATTTTAATCGCAATGCATCAAAGTGGAGAACTAGCAAAGGTTTTGGAGGAGAATAAGGTCTTGGTTGAGGAGTCATCATAAAGACCTCCCGACCATCTCGAAGACTTTAATATGTACAACAATGGAGGGGGGGAGAGGAGATTCACTGCGCAATGCGGTTAATCTTTCTAAATATACCATGGCTCATGATGAATGAGCAGAACAATGAAGCAGATTTGGTAATATAATGATGATTTTCACGATATTCTGGGGATATAAAGAGCAATAAATATGTGTATATCTCATACAAGTATTGAAGGACCCGTGATAAGTTTTCATTTGAATACTAGGTAGGCGCTTAAGTGCCTTTTTCTCAATCTTGTGAATAGATTCTTAGGAGGGCGTTATATCTAGAATGGGGATTCTTTATTGATATGCGTAATTTCCCATCTACTCGAGCAATCCTTATTCTCACCAAAAGCATGCATTTTGTCTAATCCCCCACCACTGATGAATGATTTCGGCATCGATCGATCTTTCTCGGTTGTTACCATTAGCTCCAGCTTTGGCGGGAGCTACAAGCGACCAGTGGCGGCTACATATTGTATTCCTTCCCCCACGTCAAACGGCCCGCAAACCAAAGTGCAGTGACGTATGGAACTAACAAACATTCCATTGTAAATATCAGATCAAGGAGCAAGTCCTCCGGTGCATGAGGTAGGTATGAACAAAAGAATAAGTAATGGATTTTTTCAAATTTTGTATATAATTCTGTTAATCTCTCCTATCTACCCACTTACTACATAAACACAACATAAACACAAACTGGAACCTTCTCTCTTTCTACTTCAAACTTTAATACGTCAAAATGGTTGGTACAAATGAACTTCGAGCTGAGAATCTCTTCTCTATGAAGAATGATGTTTGCGTCATCACTGGAGGTGGAACTGGTATTGGATTAATGTATTTTCCCTCTCCCTCACTCTCTATATCTGGAACACTTCTATTTGACTGTATACTGATAATCAAATAGGGCAGCTCAAACATTAGCCGCAAATGGAGCAAAAGTATACATCACAGGTCGTCGAATGGAAGCTCTAGAAAATGCAGCCAAGCAACACTCTCCCACATCAGGAGGTTCTATTATCCCGTGAGTTTCTTACCTAGTTTCCTCTTCTACTATCTCCCTATCCACAGTTACGATAGCTAGACTGGTAGCGTATCTAACCCAAACCTCTAGAATTGGTCCCTGTGACGTAACCAGCAAAAAGGATCTCGAAAACCTCGTTTCCGAAATCAGCAAGAAGGAGAAATACATCAGTCTCCTCCTCGCAGGCGCGGGGATCTCCGGGCCCAAAGCCGAGCCCAATTCCTCCGATGCCGTCGAGCTGAAAGATAAGTTGTTCAATTCGGAAAGTTTCGAGGAATGGGGTACGACTTTTAATACAAACGTCTCGGCCGTCTATTTCACCACGGTCTGTTTTCTTCCGCTGCTACAGGCGGCTCATAAGGTTCATGGACGCATGTCCAGCTCTGTCATTGTGATTAGTAGTATGAGTGGGATTATGCGACATGCACAGGGACATTTCTCGTATAATGCGGCCAAGGGCGCGACGGTGCATTTGAGTAAGTTGATGAGTTATGAGTTTAAGGAGATTGGTGTTAGGGTGAATAGTATTGCGCCAGGATACTTTCCAAGTGAGATGACGACGGGGGAGAGTGATGAAGCGCAGAAGAGTTATTTGGATGAGGAGAAGGTTCAGCAGAAGGGTCATGTGCCTATGCAGAGGGGTGGAAGGTATGTGTTTTATCTTTCTCTTTGGGGTTGAGAATGCTGGAAAGCTAATGATATCTGTAGTGATGAGGAGATGGCAATGGCTGTGTTATTCTTATCGAAGAATAACTATGTTAACGGAGAGATTGTTGCGGTTGACGGTGGTGTTCTTTTGGATGTTCCGGGAAGGTAATTCATGGAACGAGATGGGATGAGATGAGGTTGAGGAGGAGATATTCACATTGTCCCTAGATGTCGATGAAATAGAAACAAATAAAAGTAATCAGGAAAATATAAATAGGCTTTTTACGCCACATCAGAAGAGTAATGACTAGTCGATTGCAAGTGAACACGTCCTGATAAGTGACGTTGAGCGGAAATGAAAAACTTACTCATCTGCTCACCATTATCGCTTAAAGATATATATTCGTGTTGATGACTGGGTGGTCAATTGAAATTATATTAAAATTGAGATGATCACCTCTCAAAACATATTTGGGGGCTTAGATATTGAAATTCATTCGTCCGAACTTATCAACTGGACTCTCAAAAGGTTCAACGCGAATTGAAGATCCAAACCCAATGACTCTTGGACGGAATAAAAAAGATCACATACAATCAATCAATTTACATATGCATTCATATTCCCCTCCCAAAAACCCCACTACTCTGACCCCCATTAATTCCAAGCCACCCTGCCCACGCCTGCCCCTCTCCCTCACCCTCTCTTTCCCACTTCTGGATCTCCCTCGCAAACTCCCCATCCATCTGCGTCGCCTCGGCCATCAATCTCTCCCCCTCTCTTCTCAACTCTCCAGATTCCTCCAGAAGCCTCTCTACTTCTTGCTTCTTCTTGTCTCTTTCCAATACATCCCCATCTCTCTCAATCCCATTCAAATACACACTCTCTAAAACGACCTCCAGAGTCCTAGCTTCGACTTCCTTGGCTGTCGCGCTAGCTAGGAGAGACGAAGCTTGAGCGTGGATTTGTGAGGAATTTTGTGCGTAGGAGGATCTTGGGATTTGAGGTGGGATGTGAGGCTGAGGATGAGGATGAGGGGAAGAGAGAAAAGGCCATGTTCGTCCGTACATAGTTGCCATACTAGGATTCTGCGCTCCGAAAAACGGAGTGTGGAATGAAGGAACGGGAAGATTTGGAAGCGGTGGAAATCTCGCGCTTGGTATCTCGGGGATGTCTGGGTAGGTGAGTATAGGTGCAGAGGGTATACCACGTGAAATATCTCTCTTGTTACATTTTTTCTCCTTTTTCTTATCCTTCTCTTTCTTCGCGCCTTTCCGCTCCGATTTGCGTGTACTTTTTCGTTCTTTCCTATGCGCTTTCTTCAATCCCCGCTGTTCTTTGCGTAGAATCTTGCGAATGGTTTTTTGAGATTTCTGGTCGTCGTTGAACTTTCGGAGGAGATCTGCGACTTCTTTGCGGAGGGTGGCGAGGTCTTCGGTGGATGAGGAATTACCGATGTTGGAATTGGGATTTTTCTTGTTTTTGTTTTTGTTCTTGTTCTTCTTCGCGGATTGGATGTCTTGTCTTAATCTTTGAATGGTCTGTTGGGTCGTGGGATATTCGGGGTGATGGAGCCATGCTAGTAGGGATTCTTTGGCCGCGGGGAGTTGGTGGTCGGGTAGATGTTCGGGGGAGGGAAGGGAAGCGAGGGATATAGAGGAGGAGGAGCTGGAGGAGCTGGATGAGGATGGGGAAGAGGAAGAGGAATGATCTCTTCGTTTTCTTTCGTGGAGATCGTGATGGAACTGTGAGTGTCCACAATGATACCCTTCGGATTCGTGTCTTCCTCCTCTATGGTGATCCTGCGTGTGCAGACCACCTCTTCCTCTTCCCCTTCCCCTTCTTTCATACCATCCTTCTGGGGGTTCCGCCCATCTCCAGCTAGCCTCTCGCGAGTATATACCCCCTCTTCCCCACCCGTTCCTTCCATGCCACTCCTCTGGCTCTTGTTCCTGCCCTCGATTAATGTCCGGCGTATGCATACCTCCTCTTCCCCTCCCCCCAAATCGACAACCACCAATACTAACACCATCCTCATCAGCTACAATCCCTCGACTACCACCAACTCGCAATCCCTTATCATCAGCAACAAACATGTTGCCGATACGCAAACCGCTCGAGTTGGCCACAATACCGTTCCTTCCAATTCTGAGTCCCTCATCATCCGCAACCATAGAACCTAATCTAACCCCCCGAGCCCCTTGACCAGACATAGAATAACGACTCAAAAAGCCTCTCCGACCTCGATTTCGCTCGGGAATGCGCGACTCTTCTTCTTCACCCGGTATCCAAGAACCAGGCATGTTATTGTCTCTATCCCGAAACAACTCAGGCTGTTCCACATCAATGCGCAGAATCTCCAATCCACGAGGAAGAAAAAACCCCGAGTTCCAGATTTGGATCACCTCATCTACGTGTCCTATCCAATCAGTATTGGATGCAGTGACGGGGTGACGAAGAGGATGAAGCTGCGCTTGAACTTCATTCATGTCAAGTCTAGAATAATCATTTTCATTGAGCGTAAGTCTATGCATGCGCTCGTCAATTAGTTCAGCTTTGAGCTTGCGGTCTGCAACATCGTGGTTGACATTGAGGGTGTGATTAGGCAGCAAATAGTTTACAAAGGTTGACCAATCTTGCTGTGTGATGCCATAGTCTGGTGCGGAAGATGGGATGGGGACATCATCTGATGTACTTCTCCGAGTAACACAGATCTCATGTTGAGTACTTCTGGGAGCCGAAAATTGCGGCGGTAACGGTCGTGACTCGAAGTAGTCGTGAGGAGATAGATGTTTGGGGTTGCTTTCCGAGTCTAGAATCGCAGGGGGTTAGTTTATCTCAAGAGCTATGTATGTATGTATGATCTTTAAGATATATAAACGATCAAATCAAGCTCGCTTGCTCCTGTCCACAGAATATGCAAGATTCCAGACAAGACGAGCGCACCGTTTGGTCAAGGAGCTAAAATGACTGTGCTTACGTTGATCATCAGGCTCGGTTGGTGAGTAAGGAGGGGTATATATCAACGAGTTTTCAGTAGATGATGAATCTGATCGGCCTCTCCCATTCACTCTAGATGCATCATCTGCTTCTGTCGTTGTTGGTGTTGGGATCGTAGTATTGGTATTCGAAAAGACATCAGTTTCGCTATATGGAGGAGGAGCAGTCTGATCCATGGTTCCAAACTATAAACCGCGACCACGACTGAAGAAGTAATGGTGGCAAGATGGTATTTTGACAACGTAGGATAGAGCAAGATATAAATGTTTGGATGAAATATTAGAAAATGGTAACAGCTTGAGCTTTTCAACTAAAGCCAACCTAATCGACTCAATAGAGCTATATACTCAGCCCTGTCGTAGATCAGCACCCCCACATCAGCAATCACTCATATCTGCCAATCTCTGTCCCCCTTCCGTCTCACAACATGCTTAAACGAGAAGATAAGTCACCATTCTGCAAGATTACGCGTTCGAACGAAGGCAGCCACGGTAGCAAGAGAGTTGAGAATGACTATTGGTACCAAGAGAATATACTGTTTGCTGGTTGCATTACAAACGTCATTGTGATCCAAGTTGTTGATATCGATGATTCCACCACTAAAGCTTGGCTCAAAGTACGAGTTCTGAACACCTTAGTATTGCGATACCTTTGAAGCTTTCCATAGATGGATTCCTCGTACACTACTAGGCTGTAGAATCATACCTTTCGCAATCAAAGCTGGGGCCTCTTCAGTATAAGTTTATACTTGGAGTGAAAGCTGTGCAGGCAGAGCCTAATTAATTACCCCCATCAAAAGAAGTGCATAACGTGGAATCAAATTGGAGCCGTAGAAGATTATTTTCATTTTTCAAACCACCTAATTACATTTACAATTGGAGTTCTGGCTTATGAAAATTTATATCTTCTGGTTTATAGTGCTCTGCAACTATCCTGTATAGGTAAGACGGCGCGTGAGCTCCTCTGTTGAATTGGTTAGTAGTATTCATCGAATTACATTGTGAAAACTTACAAGTTGGTAATATAAAGTTCAACTAAATCAGGGGAGACATAGTCGAAAAGAGGGTTGTCGACTTCAACCTTATCTACAAAACCACCGTCCTCAAATCCAACGACATTTCCAGGATCGCCATATTCAATGAGCGATTCAAACTCGAAAGGATATTCCGGGCTGAGCTTATAGACACCGCTAACAACAATGACTGGAATTCTATGAAACTTTGCAGCTTTTGCTATTATGCGTGCCCCAGCTGCGGCTACCAATCCACCGTTAGCAATAACAGTATGAGTAGCCAAAATGACCTTGGTAACTCTCGGCATTACTGCAAATACCGCAGCATCTGTTATAGCAATAACTGTGATTCCAGCAGCCGAAAGTGGCTTTAACATGGTTTCTGCGTCCAAATCGACATCGGTCTCTTGCTCTCCTTTTCCGGTAATCGTAGAATGAGTCGTAGAATGGTCATTTGGGTATGATTCAGCAACTATTACAATAAAATTTCTCTTCTCTGCGGCCTTCAGTAAGAACTTTTGGACACTCCTTGAGGAGCCGTGAATGAGTATAACTTCTTTCTCAGAAATTTGCTCCTGCGCGTAACTAGAAATTTGATCATCGACTTGATCGAGTTCCTCGATAATTTCCTCGATACCCTGTATGATTTCGGCTTTGAGATCCTTCGTGCTAGAGGCCATCTTATGCGCAAGTGAAGTCATATCTACCACAGATCTGCCATGAGGAGACGCGGTTCCTGGGGGCGTTGAGGCCGGCGAAGGGGCAGCGGAGAGGAGGTTGAACATTGATTGCTGCACAGGCATGTTATACTGGGCAGCATAGGAAGTATGTGATGTTGTTAGAGGAGGCCGCGAGCTGTGTGACGCCCTTGGTAATGCCACATCGCTGAAGCCCTCACGCATGGGCGAACCAATTTGACTTGTCGATGCTGAATCACTGACATCCTCACTGCGGTCCTCTTTTGCTTCGTCTCTGATCATACCCAAGACTCTGTGAACAATATTGCTAACGACCATTTCCCTTGGTTGTGCTTCAATCAACCTTTGTCCTACTTTCCGAACCCGTTCCAAAAGTTTTGTAATATCCGTCCATCTTTGCTTTGCGACAACTTGGAGTAATAAATGAGCTGTGGCTATGGCGCATGATCTCGAAGTCCTTATCTGTCTTCGTTTTAAGAGTCTGAAATGTGTTAATCGTTTGTTGATTGAAGATTATGGAAAGGTACATACGATATCAAATTTTCTATGGATGACTCAACTGGTTGACTTTTTAATGATTTCAAGTATGCACCAAGGTTTGGCGCATACCCTCCACTATGAACTGGAGGCATATCTTTTTTGTTTCAAAGATTGGATGTGACGGTCAAAGTTTGGAGGTAGATAGATTTCGAGAGGAGAGATTTCGAGTAGTAAGTGGTGTGTGGTTGCTTGGAGTTGAAGATGTCGAATATTTGTGCGGAGTGCGATTGCCCCTCAATGAAGTTTTGCTGTTTGGGCTTGCTGAATCAGATTGAATGCTTTAGAGTTACTGATACGGTCACTGTTACTGTCGTATCCGAATTCTTCTTAATGTCGAATTTTGAATGGATACCTTGAAAGTTGTATCTATCCTATAACTTATGTCTCAATTTTGTAGAGCATAAAAGAATTAAAGAATTATGTTCGTTGAAGATCTCTTTTTTTGGCAGACCTACTACTAGAATGCTAAAAGTGCGGGGACGAGTGACTCAGGATGAAGGGGATCATAGACTTATTGCTTTTTAACGCAACTCGGAAGATCCAAGGTCCAAGATCCAAGGTCCAAGGTCCAAGGTCCAAGGTCCAAATTCCAAATTCCAGCGTAAAAAGCAACATCAAATCAATAATTATTTCTTCTTCAAGATAAGACAGCCTCGGAACGGAAGTGAATGAACAGCTATCGTGTATCTTAGAGTTCCGTTTGGTCTCAAATCGAAATGGATTGATTGTATGATGCTTTTGCTACCTGCCCGCCTACCTAGGTACAGCACAGAGTCCACTACGTACACTCTTTCACGCTGTCGATAATACCGGCCTCCTGGCGAAGCTTGACTGTGAGCGAAGACTGTCTGTTCCGTACCTAGGTAATCTAGGGGGGCAGGTTCCATCAAAATGAGAAACCTCACCATACAGATGGTCGAATGCAAAGTATCCCAAGCGTACCTCCCCAAGAACTGTCTAGGAGTTGAACAGTGAGTTTGCATTAAGGAGTGAGTGCAGTGACTTCAATTGGAAAGCATCCAACAATCCGCAGTATGCTAGTATTCGTATCCATTCACTCATCAGCCATCACCAATTGTGTTGTCCTACTTCTGAACAATCCCTCCTCCCCGTTGTGTTGTGTTGTGTTGTTGTAGATAATCTTGAACTGAACTGTACTGTACTGTGCCTACCTAGATATTAACACGGTTTCATATGATAATTATAATTCGGCCGCTCACTCATCCTCATCGACCTTCTACCTTATAATTCCCCTTCCCATTCCCATCTACACTCTTTTTCCTATTTTCTCCTTCTTCCCCTTCCTCTATTTCTTCCGAGGTCAATCATTTTCTTCATCTAGAACAGCGATTTCCTCCAAAAGTTTAGCTTGTTTGATTAATCTATTCTCCAAGATCCTATTTTGACCGGAGCAGCGACTTTGCCTTTGTACTTTACATATACCTGTACCGTACGGAGCATCCCATACCTACTCGAGTACAGTAACAACGATACGCTATTACGATATATCAATAATTCACAACTTTCACTCCTTTCCATTTTTCCATTCAAGTCGACGATAACCTGCGCGAAAACACCATTCGGGATTTTAGGAAAATAAACGCAAACATACTTTCCGAACCGAACTCCTATATCATAGACTTTTGGAGCTTTGCGCTCCTAGCGTTTTTAGTTGGACTATCGCGCATCTCCATTGTTAATGATCGATTGCTAGAAGCCTTCCTCCATGGATCGAAAACCATTATGAATTCTTTGAATATCCTTTCGGGGCGAGGCTCTCCTACGCATTCTCCTTCACTTTCGCGTTCAAATTCTCTGGGAAACGTATTGGCATCCGTAACTACGTCAGAATCTAGGAGGAATTCGCGGGAAGAGGTATACGGCGAGGAGCCGAAAGGACTGGATCAGGAGGATGCGCCAGACTCGAATACCGATGATGACAACACAATACACGAATCTACACCACTATTACACAAAGAAGGCATGGCTTATCATACAAGTGAACATGTGGGCATAACGAGAATGCTTTATGACTCTATACGATGGGTGCTATCTACTCTTGTTGCGCCGGGGGTATACGTTATAGCTTGCTTGTATAATGAACGGGGTCACTTTGCCCCAATATCTCAATTCAGAAAACTATTCGGTGGCACAACTGGGCATTCAATCACACAATCGACGGGAGGATCGCCCATTTCCGAGAAAAGTAATATAAGTCATTTGGCCAACGGGAAGCTATCGGCGGCACACGCATCCTCATCGAGAGATCCTCCCTCGCCGAATTCCTCGTCCTTCATCTCATCTGAGTCTGAATCAGATAACGACGGGCTCCTTAGCGAGACAGATAAATCTGCAACGAAAACATCAAACCGCCAGACACGTTCAAGATCCTTGCAAAGTTCTGACGAGATCTCACCCGCGAGGAGATCCATTCGCATCAGGATTCATAGCGATGAAAATTTGAGGCAGCGGAAGCACCGGAAGGCATCGTCAACAACTACTCAGAGTGATGGATCCGGCGGCTCCATGTCCGCTACCGATATGGCTGCTGCGATGATGAAGTCACCTACGTCCTCCGCAACTTCCTCTCTTCTCATGACAAAATATCCACGAGCTCCAGCACCACCGCGACCCCTCATACCTCGACGACAACCATCCTATACACTTGATGCTCCCGTAGGGAAACTCACCCAGAAGACCCTTATTCTTGACCTGGACGAAACTTTGATACACAGTATGAATTATGGAGGTCGAATGAGTGCTGGCCATATGGTGGAAGTACAGATCACAAATCTCATGGGTGCAGGGGGCGCTGGTCCTCAACATCCAATATTGTATTATGTGAATAAGAGGCCATACTGCGATGAATTTTTGCGACGTGTAAGTAGCTATGTGCGCCCTAAAGAAATTTCACTGACAGGATTCGCAGGTTTGCAAGTGGTATAACTTGGTTGTTTTCACGGCATCACTTCAAGATTACGCAGACCCGGTTATAGATTGGCTAGAACAAGAGCGTAAATTCTTTTCTGCACGATATTATCGACAGCACTGTACCTATCGAAACGGCGCCTTTATTAAAGATCTCAGCTCTGTTGAGCCTGATCTTAGTAAAGTTATGATTTTAGACAATAGCCCTGTGAGCTATCTGTTCCATCAAGGTGAATGAATATATATTAATATGAGGTATCGAATCGAGCTAACAATTCGATAGATAATGCAATACCCATAGAAGGGTGGATCAATGATCCCACGGATAATGATCTTCTACATCTGGTACCCCTTTTGGAAGGACTCCAGTATGTGACGGATGTGCGAGCTTTTCTTGCATTACGCGGTGGGGAGGATGGGAAGCATATGACTTCTTAGGGAAGAGATGAGTTTGGAATATTAAGTTCGGAAAGGAGTATAGGAATACTTCATGCATAAATATTTTAATGATACCTTTATATCAAGTCTCAACTGCACAGCTATCTAAATTGCCGCACTGTGGTCTAGAGACTCTAGTCTTGGAAAGGATGTGAACTTTCAATAGAAATCTCTAAGCTCCAAGGGGATTAAAAATCTCGGATACATGATCAGTGTACGAGTTCGATTCAT